GAGTCAGGAGAATCATTCGAACCCAGGAGGTGGAGATTGCAGTAAGCTGGGGTACACCACTGTACACCAGCCTGGGTGACAGAATAATACTCTGTCTCAAAAAAAAGAAAAGAAAACACAAAAACATTTATACAATCTGTATTATTAACTGTTAGCAGAAGGAAGTGACAGAATACATAAAGATCTACAAAAATATCAGACAGTACAGAGCAAATATCTGACTTCATAGTTGAGAAGTTGAAGGACCATACACAACCCTTCTTTCAGGGTTGTAGATTAGAGGGGAAACAGGTTTCAAATTAAGGAGCTACTATTAAAAATAAAAACCCTTCGAGGTAGCTCACACCTGTAATCCCAGCACTTTGGGAGGCCAAGGCAGGTGGATCACCTGAGTTCAAGAGTTGGAGACCAGCCTGACCAACATGGTGAAACCCCCATCTCTACTAAAAATACAAAGATTAGCCAGACGTAGTGGCAGACACCTGTAATCCCAGGTACTCAGGAGGCTGAGAATCGCTTGAACCCAAGAGGCAGGGGTTGCAGTGAGCCGAGTTCGCATCATTGCACTCCAGCCTGGGCGACAGAGCCATACTCCATTTCAAAAATAAATAAATAAAAATAAAAACTCTTGTCACTTTTATCCTTGTTCACCCTTATAATGCAGCACGAGTTGTTCTGACCCCCTAACACTTTGGTAAAAATCCCCTCCCAAGAAACTAAAAATAGAGATACATAAATAAAACTGCAGCTTATTAAAGAAGATATTTGTGACTTGACAGTCCAGCATTTGAGCTGGAATGTGAAAGATGGAGCCCTATTCAGCCGATTCAAAACGGCAAAAACGCAATACCAGGCCTAAGGAAATACCAAAATCAAGCAAAACATCCAACATCTGGCAGCATCTATTCACAGTGTAGAGGCAGAAGTTACTGTGAAACACCAGACATTTCTGACGGAAGCGCTGGAACAGTTTCTGACTCACCTCCCGTCCCCCACCGCAGTACACACACATTTTCTCTCCTACACACAATCTGTTTGTTGCTTTTCTTGTGGGCCTCCTCAGCCCTTCCTCAATCTTCGTTAGTTTTTAACTTAATACGTCGAGCTGTCTACATTAACCTGGCTCCATTCTCCAAATTCCAATCTCCTGATACAGCTTAAGCATTCTTCCAGTCCATTTTCTATTATGCAATACTCCCCAACAACACTTACAATCACCCCCCACCCATCTTCCTTCTTCTCAGGCCTAATTTCCAAAACATTACTTCTCGCAGTCTCGACTGCAATTCAAGGCCCCATTCCATCTTTCCCATCTGTTTTTAAGGTCTTTGACCTTAATTTCCTATATTCTTTAGGCTCTCTTCAAAACTTCCATTCCTTCCCAGAGTTAGGCAGTTTAGAGTTGGGAGTCAGCAAAGGAGTTAGTTTGAGAAAGTATGTGTCTCTGTGCGCCTGCCCGCGCCGGGGGGTGGGGGTGCGAAGTGAAAAGGGATGACACATTAGGGGGAGTCTCTGAGGGAAAAGATGGCTTCACCAACTCCCACCCCCTAACAAAATTCACGATTCCCTACCTCTTTAGCAATCGAAAGTGTCCCATAACTCTTCAATACCTTTTAAGTCCCATGGCTTCTCTTCAACATTTTTATCCAAATAGACCTCAATCAACTTAAATTCTACCTGCATCTCACACCAACTAGTTACTCTCTACTTCTTAGACCTCCATGTACTTTTTTAGTTTCTCTACTCCCTTCCGTTTCTCGTTTTCTACCCCCACCTTCAATCTCCATCTCTTCTCCTCAAAGACAATCAACGTTTTCGACAGCTTCTTTTCTGAGTCAAACTCATCCTTTCCTCAAACTCCTCTGCCCACTCAGAAATCTCTATTTGAAAGCCCGGCTCGCCCCCACCTCCGCCCCAACCCGCTTACCCCTAGGACATTCCCAGCTACAGGTACCCTCATAAGTCTCGCTCTTCCTCCCATCCCACATTCCTCACAAGCTCCCTACCCATGCCCTGCCCGGCTTACCTGAGGACGAGGTACAGGAAGGGACCCCGGGATCAAAGGATGAAAAACCGACCGCCGACGACAGCCCGGAGGAGGCCGACGCCATCTTGGCAGCCCCCTCCCCCTCAACGGCCTGGCTCTTTCAATCCGGCTCTTCCTCTTCTTGGAACTGAATCTTCCCGACGTCTCTTTACAGAACCCGCGTTCTGCGGGCCACCTCCCCGCCCCCTACGGGGCCTCCCTCAGACACCTCCAGCCGGCTCCTGGACCAGTTCAAGGCCGCACCATTCCCCTGGCATGGAGGAGAACTCCCGTCTAGCACCCCCTCCACAAGTTTAACCGCTTCCCACAGGGGATACCTTCCCCTTTCACAAAAGAGTAAGCTCAAGCTGGCTGCTGGGACTCCGCGTCCGGACCAAGCCACATCAGAAAAAAAAAACGAGGCAAGAAAAGTCCCAGAGGAGCGAATGCCCCCTCTCCATCCACCCTAGCCGCGGCCTGCTTAACGCCCAACCCGGCTGCTTCACTCCGGGTGGCCCGTGAAG